GTCCAAGTGAGGAAACACCGGTTAATCTGATCAATCATGGCAAAAAATCTAGCAAAGTTGTGTTAAATTTTGAAGGGAATTTAGCGCCGAAGGTCGCGAGTAAACTTCGTGCCTCCGATCAGCACCCGAAGAAGAAACGTAGGAGCCTTCTGATCTTCGGAGACGATCGCTCGGGCACAACTTTTGTTACTAAAATGTTTGCTGCGGACCCTCAAATGTTCACAGTGTATGAACCCTTATGGGTGACGAAGAAATGGTTCAACCAGTTAGGAATCGTAGATCCCAGAGATAAAGACATTGTTGTGCAAGACGTAGTGAATGGCTTGTTGTCTTGCCACTTCACTCAATCACAGATCGCAAGAAGCTTTCTAGCCAACACGCATCCTTCGTGGATTGCCAAAGGCGTTTTTGAGAAAAATGTCTTCAGAACCTCAGCATTTGCGGCAAGAACAAAATCTGGAAAGAAATTTTGGCCCGATCTTTACAAATATCCCAAATTCGCCGAGCAGGTCTGTCTCAATAAATTTAACCATAGTGTTGTCAAAGTAGGCCAAGTTCGTACACCTCGCGAAAGCATCTTTACGTTTATCTCGAGTATATTTGACGAGACTGTGGATACAGATGTTCGTGTTATTCAAATCGTACGCGATCCACGAGGAAGTATTAATTCGCGGATAAGAAGTGGTTGGATTTCTGATTTTACCTACACGGGATTTCCCATGTCTGTTTCTTCACTGTGTCGCAAAATTGCTATAAACATCAAGATTGGAAGAAAGCTGCATTCCGTGGAATCACTAAGAAATAGGTATATGGAAATTACGTACAAAGAGATTGCAACGATGCCAGTAGCCACTGCAAAGAAAATTTACCAGTTTGCTGGCTTCGAAATGCCTGATAGCTTGATAGACTGGATCGTGCGTAGCACGAATCCGGAACAGAAGCAGCTTGCAGCAGCTTTGGAAAATCCATATTCTCACGTAAGAGATTCAAGTGCAAATTACTTGAAATGGCGAAGAGAGTCGCCGATAAAGAGAGTCAGGATTATCGAACAGCAATGCAAGACGCTGTTGGATTTACTCGGATTAGATGCTGTCGCAGACGAAATGGAGACGCTGCGCTCTTGAGTCTGGACCAGTGGACAGTACAGAGAAACGATAACGATGTTCACACTTATGCGCAGCCACGATGAACAATTAATGAATTCGGCTTTCGTATCATATGAAGAATTATGGAGATCGAGGAGGGTGTTATGCGTCGAGGCCGCAGGCCGAGGCGGATAGCACCCTCCGGAATCTCCATAATTCTTCATATGATACGAAAGCCGAATTCAATAATTGTTTTATTATTCATTCAAAATACTCCCTAGTTTAAAAACAGAGCTAAAACATGCTTACCTCCATCGATGTTAAGTTCACCCTCGATAGTGCAAGTTTAGGGTTGTTCAGCTCCGCAAATATTCTCCAAATAGCAGATGTCGCCCTTCGAGTTGTGTTCTTTCTGTTCTGGCCATGTTTTTCGCTATAATTTCGCCTAGTTCTTACTACTCTTGAAACGAGTGAAATGTCCGCCATTTTTTGTTTTTACCACGAAAACAACTCAACCTCGTCCCCTGGGCTTCACAGTTAACGGTGCATTAACCTATAAGAACGCTGCATTTTTGACGTCATTTCCTCGTAAAACACAAAATTCTTCCAAATTTGGTCATCATTAACTGGTTATGGGGAATTATGCGTGTGCTTTTAGCCAATCAGAATCGGGAAAATATTTTGAATGAATAAAAATAATGTTTAGGTGATATTTGTAACAAGCATAGCATTAACAAACTTGAAAAAAAAATGGCCCAATTGTTTTAAAGTCCGTCCTTGCCATCCGTAACAATGGAAAGTTTGGACATAGAAATGGAGTATATTTTCCCTGCTTTAACAAATGTAACATAATACACATATTATGTAATATATTAATACTTGATATTTATTAAATATTTAATTTCCCTCTCGTTTTCAATCAAACAAGTCTATACCGGATGATGTAAGAGGTTACTTTGCGGATTAAAGTTTGGTTTACTGGTTAACAAAGCCCAACTGAGGTCTTTGTTATTTTGATGACAGACACTTTTAAAGTCTACCTTTTTTGGAATAACTATCAAATAAATGCGTTCCCGTTTTTGATCACTGTCTAATAAAATCGTACCTTCATAAAGCCAAAGACAGAAAATTAAGCACATTGGCGAGTTATTTTTGGATTAAAAACTCCTTGTTTTTGTATCCTTTGTAACTTATTTCTCCCTTAAAATTATTTACGCAACTTAACTTCAAGTGTTCGATATGTGATGTACCACTGTCTCTTGTTGTTAAGTTACATAAGAGACTGTGCTTTAAAATCAGTATAAGGTAAATCCAGCTATGGTCTTATTTAACACAAGAAGATACAAACTATTAGTATGTTTACAAAAGAGCAAAGATAGTTACGTCAAACTAAACAGTTTTCTTGCACGTGAAACTTTGTGTTATAGGTTAGCCTGAGAAAACAGCCGATATTTCTCAACGCCACCACTGGTTTCCCTGCGAAATGACGTCTGAGAAACGAGCGCAGAAATTCCATACTGATGACGCGTCACTACCAGTTAGCGCTTCTGATTGGCTGACAATTTGCTTCATCCGATCAGAATCACTACCCACACTTATGTACCAGGATTTGAGTACATGTCATGCCGGTGATTAACCTGTTAAAAACGATTGACCTGAACGCATCCAAACCTCTTATTTCATTGATCCCTATAACCTGCACTACCTATTGTTTCCAGGGATAGGGGCATTGTTATGTCACCATCCCTATTGAGATTCCTTGTTTGGAACAGGTGCAGTTCGGCCCGTTAAAAAAGCCATTGTCGACTTGCCAATACCGATGAAGAGAAATTCGAAACTCACTTCCGGTAATTCGTCGAGTCCGTTGGGGGCCCAGAACAAGAATCAGGCAGACTCGTATCCAGTCACTATTTAAGTGTTTTTTGGGGTGAGAGAAGATTGGGAATTAGGTTGAGGCGCGCGCGGGGTCTCATGGGACCTTCCCTTCCCATGAGACCCCGCGCGCGCCTCAACCTAATCCCCAATCTTCTCTCGCGCCCAAAAACACTTAAATAGCGACTGGGTACGAGTCTGAGAATCAGGACGCTGCTTTGCAGACGTTACTAACCGAGATTAGTAAATTTCGTCTGCGACGCAGACTATGCTTATAGGACTGGCATGGAATGTCGATATGTGCAAACAAGTTTCTTGTTTTTTTGTTGTTGCTTCTGCTGTTTCATCAGGACTTTTCATAATGCGGGACTTAAAAAAGCTTATTGACACACACTTCGTAAGAACGCTAAAAAGGCGTCTTGGAATGACCCCCTAAGACATATGCTCTAACTAAGCTACTCAAAAATGATTGCTGTAATTTGTCGTTATTAAGACTTCTTCTCTTTAGCTGCCACAGGTTTAGCGTTGAATGCAAGAGTAAATTGAAGGTAATTGAAATAACAGAGAAATCCTAGGAAATGTAAACAAGAGTACAGCGAGATGAGAACCGGCCAAAGGTCTGGGTAACGTCTGGGGGGCTGGACCAAAGCCGAACCAGTGTGAAGGCACAGGGCACCCAGTACCGACAAAAGAAACTAGGAACAAAAGCAATGTGGAGCAACAATTACACCGAATGTCTTTTTAACGGTAAATTGACTGAACTAAAGGTCAGTTAAAAAGTACGCCTGAAACTTGTGTAAGCCTGAGTTCTGAGAGGACAGCTATTGAGCGATAAAACCCTGTAGTTAGGACATTTATGCTGTACAAGGAGGTTCTGATTTTTGGGCCTAAGGATGAGCTCCTAAAGTGTAACCATTCAAATGAAAGCTGTTGAGCAGTACTTTCCTGTGGTACTGTTTATAATGCGGTACAAGGTGGTTCTAAGTTCTGAGTCTGTGAATGAAACGCTAACTTGCCACCAATTACATTCACTGAGGTGCTATAAAATATTTTACCAAAAAAGTGATTCTAACTTCAAAAGGAAACCACACGATAAATACTATTAGGCAGCAACACCTTGTTTGATCACACCTGAACGTTAATTACAGGCTTATTAAAAATTTTGAAAGTTTCATATCTTAAGAAACGGCAAGAATACCAAACTTACCAAACTTTGCTTTCGTGTTGTGGTCTTGTGCAGTTCAAACACGTGATAAGAAACAGCATAGAACAACAACATGCAGGAAATGTAAGGAAGAGCTAGGCCATCCTTTAGTAACAAAGGCCACATACTACAAACAGACCAACGTTAACGAGCAGTGAGAACAAGGCAGCGTTTTTTTTGGGGGAAAAGTAGGGACCTTGTGAAACTACGACGGTGACGGAAACGAGAAAGTCAAAAACGCAATAAGCCAAACAACAACTCTACACGTGCGCCACGCTCTTCAGTAAATTTCTTTGCCTTCCCTGCAAAACTACGACGTAAAAATAAATGACCAATTTTAAGTTTTCTTGAGAAGATGACATTTTACTGTATCGTTCTAAGCTTAGAAAGAGGTCCTCTTTCTTCAGCTTAACTTAATTTCCCAACTTTTAAAAGAATGAAAAAGTTGGAATAATCGAGAAAAGGTTTGAAAGGACGCCAGTTTTCCGTGACGGTTTCACCGGCGTCGGCGTTGTCAAATCGTAAGGTTCACAAAACAAATGTGGAGACCGCATGAAGCCGCTTAAAAATAACCTTTCATGTACCTACCTGAAAGTGGAGATAACTAAAAACCATGAACACTCAAACGGCTTGTAGTGAAGAAGAAGGCATACAGGGCTGATGGATGAACAATAAAATCATATCAGGACAAACGAGATTTTAGCATCGAACTGTTTTTTAACAAGTAATGGCAAACAATAAAAAAAAAAGGAAATAGAAACCACTTAGGAAACATGTCCTTGAGTCGTCATAACAAAGCAAAAATATGTTCCTCCAAAAATGAGATTGGAGACTTTAAGAAAATCGCTACGGCGGTGGTGGATGCGGAGTCCTGGGGAGAGTATGTCACCGTAGCCCTCCAATTTCAACTTTAAGCAAGCGGCACCCAAACAGTGATTACGGGGTTTCTCGCTCATTTGCTTTCGCTGCTAGTGAAACGCAGGGAAGACGTCATTACCTTGAAACCAGAAACGTCAAATACTTTCTTGATAAAGTGAAAAACAATCTTTGATAGGTTTCTAAGCTCAAAAGATCCTTACATCAAAATGCAGATTTTTTTTAAGATACTTGGGTAGCCTTTTGCGAGCAATGAGTCAATGTCCTAGAATAGTAACTACAAAAACATTGTGGTATTTTGCGAGCAATAAACCACGAGAACATTATTTACAAAAACATTGTATAAGAGATTTAATACTTACAGTGCGGCTAAAAGAATTGACTTTTCATGTACTTGATACGAGAAAATGAAGAACGCCAGAGATGAATTCACCTAAATTTACAAAGAATAAACGTACTCTGTGGTTAACGCCTATGCATAATTTTATCATAAATACCCTTTCACTGCATCTTTCTTTTAACTTAGGCCTAACCTGCGTAGCAAACGTTTCCGTTCGAGTTCGTCGAAAAAATTGGGACGAGAGCGCAATAACTCGATTGAAAACGCTTGCTACTCAGGCTGACTTAGGCTCGAAAACGGATATTTTCACGGATAATTTACTCTTCCATTCAACACTTACATATATCCGGTGAAAACGGTCAGCGGAAACGGATCTTTTCAAAAACGCTATCCAGAACGGAGATTTCTGAGAACGCCGGCTTTTCGTTTACATGTGGACGGACGAAAACGGAGGTTTTCGAATACAATGATAGGGAGCTTAAGCAAAGACGACGGCGACGGCAGCGAGAACGACAAAAAAGCAATAGGGTTAGATTAGCAAAACAACAACAATTCTGCACGTGCATCACGCTTTTTTGTATACAAGTATTTCTTAGTCGTCGTTGCACGACAACAACGTGAAGTGCCGGATTTCCCACTTTGTCGAGGACGGGAACACAAGACAACTTTCCTTTTCTTTTCCTGAACTTTGATACAGTCCTTTAGAATTCATCTCCAAAACAAATTACCAACATTTGGGGAATTAAACAAGAATAAGGGCGATAAAGTCGAAGGCAGGGCGAATTCAACCTCGTTCCCAGGGTTCTCCCCTATCCGTCGCGACGGGTAGGAGAGAGAACCTGGGAACGAGGTTGAATCCATGTCCATCCTTGTTATCCGTTGCAACAGCAACCTGCGGGTAGCTAGTTTACAGACGCCCCCTTCCCTCAGACAACACCTTTTCAGTTGTCAGAGGCAAACAAAAAATAATAATTATGCAAATGTATACCGGAACACGGTTAACGACGGCGATTCATGGACGTCACTCTTTCCGATTTTTTTTCTGAGGGGAGGGGGGGGGTCTCTACACAGGCTGCCTGCGTACCTGCGAGCCTGATTTTTTGCAAGGCAGGTTTGATTCGTTGGTGGTAAAACGTGCAACATCGCAATTCAACCCGTTTTGCATCATTGTTGCAAAACAAAATGCACGTTTTTGGCTGCCCATTTTACCGTACTTTGAAGTAACATTGGTCACCGCAAGGGGATTGAGTAAATGACGTTTCGAGCGCCATCCCTTGCCTGAGTGATTCGCTCTGACGAAGGGCTAGATATTTAATGCCCGAATTAACGCCCCGCACTAACATCGTTAACTACAGCTAAACGATTACCTTACCAGAGCCAGGACAAATCGATCTATTGTCGGGTTCCTCAACAAATTTAGGGACGAAGGTAAACAAGCAGTTAATGTGGACCACGTGCTAGGGGAGAAAATATCATGTTAGATTTGCAGTGAGGGCGCGGACATCCCAGAACAAAAACAGTATTAGATGCCAAGCAATTCTATGAAAAATTCCTAATTTGTTCAATTTGTTCTTAATAATACAACAATGCCTTCCTCCTCTGCGGCTGAACTGCAATCAAGCGTTTTATTATTTTCACCCCTGCTAGATTATGGCAAACTAATGAGTAAGTGACACATGTACACCAACCCACAGACTGAACAGAACCTCACGCATGTGCACAGCTGTTTCGCCTGTTTTGTTTTGAGATTAGAGCAGGCCACCTCCCAGTCAGAACGCTTACCGTGGATTGGGGTGTTTCTTGTTGTTGCGGAGACTATTTGTTGGCTCCCTTTTGTTTGGATCATTCTACGTTTTTGGGAAACTGCCCACCTACCCCTCCCCTAGGCCAACATTAACACTTACTCTCACTTTGGGCAAAATCTTGGCTTAGGGGAGGGGTAGGTGGGCAGTTTCCTAGAAACGTATAATGATAATCGCACCCGTCCGCAACATCAAGGAACTTCCCACCTACCCCTCCCCTAAGTCAACATTTTGCCCTAAGTAAGTGGTAAGTGTTAATGTTGGCTTAGGGGACGGGTAGGTGGGCAGTTTCCCAGAAACGTATGATGATCCTAAACTACTGTGCATTGAGTTACATTTACCTTATGCTTGGGCACAACGGTAACCTGTGCCGTAGACGGAACTAAACATCTGGCCCCAGTTGTTCAAAAGGTGGATAGGGCTATCCGATGGATAAATCTCTATCCAATGGATAACATAATCGGTTTCCCTAATATCTATCAATTGGATAGTGATTTATCCGGTGGATAGCACTATCCATCATTTGAACAAACGGGGCCAGGTTACCTTCGTCTGCGAAACAGCGCCGGAATTCTTGTTCTGGGCCCCCACCTGTGTACCAGGATTTGAGTACGCGCCGTGATTGGCCTGTTAAAAATGCCATTGTTGATTTACCAATCAAGATGAAAGGAAATTTGTGACGCTTTCCGGGGGAATTCGTTGAGTCTTTTGACGGCCCGGAACAAGGATAGGAGACGCAGACGTTACTAACCGGGGTTAGATGACATGTGCGACGCAGGCTAACATAAGAGCTACTCAATTTGACTTGACAAATAGAGGGAAAGTAAGTTGTGGGTCTGTTGTAGGGGACGAATTTTTACCCATTTTCCTGCACAACCTCGTAAAACGCCACTTACACATTTCCCATAATGCACCTAATTTGTCCACCCCAATTCTGCATAACCTTTTTTTTCCATTTCTCCTGGATATTACAGCCGTCCTAAGAGAAACTGAAAACAATGCTTATGCAAAATTTTGGGGAGCAAATAAGGTGCATTATGGGAAAGGTGAAAGTGGCGTTTAGGGATAAAAGGGTCCCAATAAACTCCCATAGTGCACTTTGGCACAACATCCACCTTTCTCTCGCGTAAAAGGCAATCACTAACCTGAGTTTAATGATCTGTGTTTGGGTTAAAACTCTTTTGACTTTGATGAGAACTGAAATGGAGCACCAAATATTTGCAACCTTGTCCTGGAGAAAAAAAAAAGTTTTAAATGTATTCATCGCACATGCAGACATGGATTTTTCTGGCTCGATGCTGGCTATAATAGGAGCCGTTTCAAAAATCGAGGGTTTAAAATGTTCGTCTTTTCGGCGGTGTTCGTAAAAGATGCACAGTGAAAACCTGAGTATGTAAAGCGGGGCCTTCGCTTGGTAGGGAGATGATGTAACGAAAACGACGACAGCAGCGATAACAGCAAAAAGCAATTGATGAAAAAAGCAACTGGAAAGCGTTTAAAATGCAGTTTTTAAATATAATACTAAGTAACGCATCTATTTTTCAGAGTCTTCGTACGTACCTCAAAAAGACCCCTTGCAAATGGAAAGAGCCGATGAAGAACTTGCAAAATCGCTGGAACTCCAGTCAAAAACGGCAACCAACTAGAGAGAAATAAGACATGGTGAGGCGGCCATTTTAGAGAACACTGTGTTACATTTCAACTCTAGTACATACTTAGGCCGTTGTAGCTTTGTTTAAAGTAAAACCACAACAAAAGTGATAAATATGGTGCACCACAATTATGCTTAAGTTCTGATGATGAGAAAAACACATCTCGCTCGCTTGACAGTCCGTCGAGTGGCCCTTAAGTTGGTTTTATGACAAAAACTACTGCCATTTTGTAGTCTAAAGAGTGAACTGTTCTTCCTTTTATATATTGCGGAAAGTAAACTTACCACAAAATGAACGTCACAATAACAACAATTCCTAATTTGGCAATGCTAAATATTCTTGAAATCCTGCAAAGGAATCGGTTGAGAGGGTCATCTTGAAAGAGTCACGAAATCAATGCTGCAAAAAAAATTAACTACACTGTAAGGCCTTGTCCACACGTATCGTATTCGAATCGTTTTTGTCTCTCCGCACGAAAACGCTAGACAAATGGAAATACGATAGCAGACCTTGTAGGGCATGCACGTTATGATGTATGACATCATCGCCAGATTAGACAACTTCCGTTTCCGTCCGTCCGCGTGAAAACGATCAGCGGTCGTTTTCCAAAAAACTCCACGCTGGGGACCGTTTTCGAAAACCTGCATTTCTGGTGCCCGAAAATGCCGTTGACGTGCGGACAGGAGGCTAAAACGGAGGAAAAAAATCTCAGTTTTCAAAAATATCCGGATACGTGTGGACGAGGCCGGCGTGCTGGGAAGTAGTAATTCGATAATTCATTTTCCACGCTTGCAATTAGCTAACTTGTCCGTCTCACGAAAAGTGAGATTCCAATCATGTTTCCACGACTATGTTTAATTTGGACTGTTAAAATTATTTGCTTGCGATCATAGGAGTATAGGAAAGCTACATTGTCGCTAAGTCAAAGAAAAACTGTTTTACATTCGCTATAATCAGAGCATTTACAATTACATTTTTAGAAAAAAGGAAACCTTACCATGATTTTTCTTGCAAGGACTTCCCTAATAAATAGAAAAAGAAAGGAAACGCATGATAAAGTTCCATCTGCTTGTAGTTTAAGGCCAGTGTGTACGCGATTGACCCCAGGAGATCATGACCACGCGCTAGCCCTATCACTCCCCACAATGCCAAACCAAGACTTATGGCGTTATATCTGAAGTTACTTGTCAAGGATTAGTATACAATGAGCATCGACAGGGTCTAGGGTATAAACTAACTAGAGTGATCATACTGGGCAGCAGGCACTTGCACAGACGGCTTTCTAGAAGCTGTATTGCTTGTGGACGAGTACCCACATCATCAACCACGCCAAAATCAAACTCTTCCATAGCACCACCACCACCATCATCATCATCATCATCGTCATCATCATCCTCGTCATCAACGTCGTCATGATCATCATCATCATCATCATCGTCATCGTCATCATCATCATCATCATCGTCCTCGTCATCATCATCATCATCGTCATCATCATCATCATCATCGTCATCATCATCCTCGTCATCAACGTCGTCATCATCATCATCATCATCATCATCATCATCGTCATCATCATCATCATCATCGTCCTCGTCATCATCATCATCATCGTCATCATCATCATCATCATCATCATCATCATCATCATCGTCACCGTCGTCATCATCATCATCGTCATCATCATCATCGTCATCGTCATCGTCATCATCATCATCATCGTCCTCGTCATCATCATCATCATCATCATCGTCATATCATCATCATCATCATCATCATCATCATCATCATCATCATCATCATCATCATCATCATTATCATCATCGTCGTCATCGTCGTCATCCTCATCATCATAACATCGGTATCAACACAAACTATATAAACAAGCAATCTTCACATTTACATGAGAGAGTATATCTTAGCCACAGGCTAGGAGGAAGTGAAGTAAGTCCCTGTAATAGAATGGAGTGGTGATAAAAAAAAATTTCAAATTCACTGCACTTAAAGAATTCACAATTATCAATTCAAAATTTGCACAAAAAATAGCTTAAAATCTGCTTATCACTATACTTCTTTTGCGTTCTACCGCCACCTTTATATTTCGAGGAAGGATGTAGTAAACTATAAATTAAAACTTTCCGCTGACAGAACGTTAAAGGATACTGAAAGTGTCCATGATCTATGAGAATTAATCCCGGATAAAAAAGAATGGCAGATGCAATGAGAACCTGGAGGATGTAAGGAAGCACTCAATTAAAAACAAACAAAGAAACAACAAAAGACGCCCAATAAGTTTGGGGACAGGTGCTTGAAAGTAAAGGCCACAAGAAAGAACGGGGTGGGCACTGTTTTTTTGTTGTTTTTTTTCCACATAATTTATTATTCATGTCACGTCCCCAAATCCTTGTACACAGGTGGGGGCCAGAACAAGGTTTTCTGTGCTGTTTCACAGACGGACTTGACCAGAATTTAACTTTGTTTCTGGCGCAGGCTATGTGTGTGATGGCCTATATTCGTTACTTTCCAGTTACAGCGTGCATTTATGCCTTATAAAGTGAACTGTTTCATTTTAAAGTCACAGAAACAAACTCTAGTAGCGTTGAGGTTTTCTTGTCATATTTATGTTTCACCAGCCATTTCTTACATCAGGTGTAGTATATGTCTCTTGATTCTATGATTTCGAATGTATTGGCCAACCAAGAGGTCTGGGTCTAGTCGACAAAAAACTGTCCTTCTTCTAGATCTATACAATCACATAAAATGCACTTTATTTCAGCGTCAATGTATTTAGCACGAAAGTACTAATTGGGGACAGTATTATTACATCTCCTACTGGGGACGGGGCTGCCATCTTACATGGTCATCTGAGCCACGCAAAGGTCTAGCCATTTGCAGTGCAAAGGCAGTACCTTCATTTCTCAGTTATTTTAAGACCCTGAGAGTTGGTACGGCCCCGGGAATCGAACCCACAACCTCCCGCTCCTCTATCAGGTGCTCTACCAACTGACCTATTCCTGCCGCAGGATGAATGAAAAGGATGTTTAGTCTGTGAGGGCAGCTGTATTTCTGTTTGTAGCTTCTCTCCATGGGGCATGTGAAACAAAAGCCAAAAAGCGAATCTGCTAATGCAGGCTACAGAAGACTAGCTAACTTCCAAACAAAATCAATGCTGTATTGATTTCAAAAAGATACCTTTATCATGGTTATCTTTTTTTACCTTATTTAAAGCAGGTTTTCTTCCCAAACAAAGAAATGAGAACTGAAAGACTGCAGGAATGTATACTAGTACATCAGCAACCAACACTGTTAAAATAATCAAAGAAATATCCATTTGATTAGCTGAAGTAATGAGTCCGAAATTGGAAATGCTTGGGCCTTTGCGTAACCAAAAAGTTCATCTGAGGACAGACTCCAAAACTCTGTATTACAGTATACTGAAATTAAAATATAGTTCTTCTATTTTAAAGCACAACAAAGGCTAAAAGAAATAATGCATAGTTAAACAACAGCCATTATTAATAATAACTACCACAGAAATTACACGAATGGGACATTTAGAACTACAAATACACAATCATGTTCAGATCAATCGATCGATCTTTGCGTCCTATGGGATGCATGCCATGAATTATTTGCGCCTTTGAGGATTTTTATGCATCAGGGACCCAGGACACAGAGGTAACAAAATCACTGGAGTCACGCTGTAGTTTACCCAGACCTACTGTCAAGTAACTTGATAAAACCAAAAGGTGCAGGCAAGTTTTATACCGATAGAGCGATTTTCATATGACTTTGAAATGAAAACATGCGAGCAAAACAGAAACAACGAATGGACGGAAATAGAGTGATTTGATTGGTTTATCGAACAGATACAAATGCACGTGGCTTTTGGTTGGTTGAGCAAACTCCCGAGAACTTTCTACAAATCAACCGATACTTAGCTTTGACGTCATACTGTAATGCGATTGGCCGTAAAATTCCGAAAATAAGCCGCGGGGCTTATATTTTTCAAAGGCCCTTTTTGAGGGGCTTATATACGGAGGGGCTTATCTATGGAGGGATATTTGCGTTTCAAAATCAATTGGGCTAGCCTTATAGTTGGAAGTAAATTTACCGTTTTAGCTTTGTTTTACTCTGTATTTGAGGGCAATTTTCCACGTACAAGCCCTCGGGGGGCTTATATTTGGAGGGGCGATTTAACGGAGGGTTTTTTACGTTACCGGTTTGGGGGTCTTATATTTGGAGGGGCTTATTTTCAGAATTTTACGGTACCTTGGCTTCCAAAAACCAAATCCTTTTAACAAGATCAAAGCAAAAAATACCATAAATAGGAACAATTTCCAAATCTTGTTGCTGTAGTGACGTTCTTTGTGCTAAATGTCCATAATAATACAACTTACTGGACTGTTCAAGGTCCCCTATTTTCTCGTAAGATCATTGAGAATGAGTGCTCTCCATTACCGGCAGCCGTCTTTATAGTTTTACACATACTGAAGGGGTGAACAGGGCAGTGGCGGTTCCAGGGGAGGGGCCTGGGGGGCCTCCCCCCTCCTCCTTATGGTTTTTAGACCAAACCAAGGTCTGAAGGGCTGAAAAATTTGTTTGGAGAATGCCTTTCCCCCTCTTATCTAAGGGTCTGGATGACCACCCCCCTTAACTCAGTCAACACATTTGAAGCCAAAGCTGCTGCCCATAAAGTTAGGTGCTATCCCAATGATCTTACAAAAAAATAAGGGACTGTGAACAGTCAAACTACATACTGGATTTGAAAAAAAAAATTCTACCTGTGTATCTCATAAATAACTTATGTTCATGACTTTCATGCCCCCTAGATTTGTTAAGTGCAATCCAGTTTGGATTTATCTTGTTTGCTCTGAAAGAGATGGTCAAAAAACGTAAATCCTATACTATATTAATAAAGTTAGGGACATAATGACTACCAGTAAAAAGGGTTTTCAAATTCAAAGAAAGGACAATAGGTCAATCGACAGTCTTCCGACAGACGGCCGACATATTTTTTGGAGAGCTGTTCTAGTATTATTTTACCATTTTAGTCCATATGTTCCACAATATATCACCACCGTTTGAGATCTAGACTAGGGTTTTGAAAATTGAGCTTTATAAATCTTCCATTTTGATGGTTTTGTATTCGGTTTTCAGTTTGGATCGAAGTCTGTCGTGGTTTTTCGGTTTTGGGTAATTTTTAGAGCAGTTTTTCAGTTTTTTTATAGACCCTGACGCCCCCTTCTAATAGGGCACCCAGACCTTTTCTTAGAGCACACCAGGAATTTTTCTTTGACAACATCCTCATTACTGTTGAGCCATGGTCATTTACTGATATACACCTTATTCCAAAATAGGGACAATTTTATTATTCTTTTATAGTTATGTTAATTGGCCCTCGATGCCTCCATAGCATCTTCAGAATTCAAAAGAATTTCTAGGTGGAATTGAGGCATGCAGGGCTAATTTACTTGAATGTAAAAGAAAAATAAAGTTGTCGCCATTTTGGAATAGCTGTAAACCTTGCAATGAAGCATTTTAATTTATTGTTCAGATAGCACTCACATGAACCCACAAATCCAGCTGTGATAGGCAGTTAATGGTGGATAATCCAGGCCCCAATACATCAAGTCATTGTTTGTGGTGTTATTGTACCTGAAGATTAACATCAAGCAAATTACCAGAATAAGCGCCCATCCCCTAGGCCATGATGTTAAATATGCACCCCCTCCATCCCCATCCTCTTTCATAAATAGTAGGGATTCAAGTGGAATGGTTTTAAGGTCTACATATCAATGACAAGGATAATCTCGAGAATGAAGAGATCATCAGTATTTTATTAAAATGCCTACTTATAGTGTGTGTGTATAGCGACTATGGTACGCTTGATTACCAACCAGGGTTTTCAACAGAATTTTGTACACCCATTACTGTGCTACTCACAGGCGTAACACATGGCATGCTCCATGAATTGGTCTACTGGTCAAAGCAGTTTGACAGCTGTCACACATTCTGTAAATCCTCTATTCAGGCCCCCCGGGGGGGTATTTATTTCAAACTCCTTTGAGGGGGAAGGGGTGGGGGCTTTTCTAGAGGCAGGAGGCTTAATTGAGGCTATAATTAACTTAGGGCAAAATATGGCCTGATACGCAATAATTTCTTCAGCACCTTACCATTCATCAACTGGTAGATTATAAGTTATTTCCATCCAGTGTCTCTGCGCTTCGTAATCTCCAAACATCGGTGGCTTTCCTTTTCCTAGAGAGTCGACCAAGCAAACATCCGGTTAAGAACCAGATTTCTCTTTGAACAAGCTGCTTTTCATCCGCCTTTCAAGCCATATCTTACCTGAATATGGACTGAGAGACACACACCATCGAACCAGAATGGCAGCCAACGCAGAAATCACTACTGCGTAGAATTTTTCAGCCATTTCTTTACCTACAAGGCGTTCGATTCATTCCCTGATCGCTCTGAAAAATAAATTTTATCCGCCATGTTTAAACCTACGAACCCAAGGCTTGATGGGATAGCTCATCTCCAGGCCTTTTAGTCTTTTCTGGACTGAACTGACAGAAACAAAGAGGTGACTGGGGAGGAATACAGATGAAGGGTTAGGGGCTCCTGATCTCTACGCAAACTTGGCGGTTTTATCGGCAAATCCCGACCCGAATATATCAGTTTTCAAAAAGGTTTCTCACCTTTCTCACTGAGGTTTCACTTGCCTGCGTGCAGACGTCTCCGCAACAAAGGAAATAGGAGACGTCTGCACGCAGGCAATAGTCTACAAAGGTTTCACGGGTGACCAGTTTCCCTCATTTTCCGAAGAATCAGCGCCAGACAAAAGGGCATTTTGTACCAACAGGTATCATAACGGGGTGTAATGACGAGTGTTTGTAAGCGTTGTGCAACTCAAACAGTCGACTCCCGGTAACTCGAACCCCCTATAACTCGAACCTCCCGCTAACTCGAATCAATTTTCATTCCCCTTCAGATCGTTTTCTATATAATTTTACCCTCGATAACTCGAACTCCCGATAACTCGAACTGTTTTCTATTTCCCTTGAAGGTTCGAGTTATCGGGATTCGACTGTAATTAGTTTTAATGTGATCACATTTGTTGCCACATCTATATTTGGCAGCTCTACACCCTCGCTCAATTTCACACCAACATTGGCTACTTCGTTGGAAAGGGCATTTATTGCTCGCGTAGCAGGTGATACGCGCGTGAAAAAACGGAGCGTGCGAGGGGGAAACGCGAGGGGGGAGGGTGATCTTGCGTGACTCCGTTGCGTGCCCCGTTCTTTCAGCTGACACGTAAGTCATCAAACTTATCATTTAAGACTAATATTTATTTTAAGAACGTCAAATTTAAATAGCATATTATTATAACCGTGACCATTTTGTAATAAATATAACTCTTGAACGACTGTGTAAAGAACTTGATACAAGTAACAGCATTTGAACAACGCGATACCAGGTCTCAGCTATAATAGTCAATGACAAGTGGTGGTTAAAGATCGAGATCAATTCAAATCAAGTTTTAAATTTGTAATTCAGGGACTTTCTTGAAGAAAAACTTTTACTTAATATGTTGCATCTTAAGCCATGAGACCTCTTAGGTCAGGTTTAAGCCTTGTATTGGCTTTGATGTTTAACATATTCGTCTCATTCGCACCTCTTTGCCATTATTACACCCGACTACTCTCTTAAGTTTGGAATCAAAAAAATTCATCCCAACTGTTTGTTGCCTATAAAAATCCACAGTTATCAAGGCTATTTAATGTATCAATATTTTGATACACACTTGATATATGGGAGGGGAGGGTCGGGAACTCCCTTTCAGGTGTGATAACCATGTAGCAGCAGGGGTAGATCTGTATTAATTATTTTGTGGGGGAAAAGTGCCCGTTAACGTTTTCCTAAACAACGAGCACCAAGGGGTTCAAGGAAGTTTTTTTTATCTAAGTCTCTGAGTCACCTTTCCTGGCTTAACCTGGGACGGAGTCTGAGTCACTCAGATAGAAAACATTCACCCCGACACAAAAGTATACCAGAGAATTTCAACTTTTCTTTTATCCAAAAAACATTCTCATTCTGAGAAATGTGACCAACTTCAAAAAAATGAAGAAACCAGACAGTTAAGCAGTGCTTTTAGACAAGGAAAAGAGAAATAATAATTAATTTATTTAATTTAAGACCCTGTATAGAGTAAAAGGGATCATGACACTTGAACATGACCTGGAGGCACATCCCTATAAAGCCCATATATAGGAGTAAACCCCCCGTAATTGGAAAGCGGGGGAGGGGGGGTCTAAATAACACATTACACTTTATTATTAAATACTAACAAAGTTATAAATATCTCCTGTAAAAATATGTTTTTTTACAACATAACTTGACCAGATTAACCAAATAACTGATCAAAATATCAACACCATGAGCTACACGACATGGCTAATGATTATAAATTACCAATATAAACAGATTAGACAAATAACTCAATGTAGTTCTTTCTAAAAAGGGGTGGCAAATGAGAAAAGGAAATGTTTTATCTGTACCAAAGTTGTGATTAATGTCGTTCCTTCTGTTCATGGTTTTGAATTTAAACTGCAAAAGTTTTGGCCCAGCTGTTTTGTTTTCTTTGGGGGGGAAAATGTGGGGGGAAGTATCGACCCACTGAAAAATAGGCTGCATAGGAAAGGAGGTGTTTTTTATGACCATCTTAAGAGAGATTCCTTCAGATTTCCCTGACTAGCCATTCTTCTAGGAAAGCATTGCAAAATTTTATGAGTTAAAGAAGTCAGTGATATTTAGTTTCAAAACTGACAAAATTTATGCATGTGCAATAACTAGTATTAGGCATGGGATGGCAGAAAATGTTTTCAGGATATCTACTACAGTGGCTTATATCCAAGCCTGCAGTCTTCCATAACTGGAACTCCACATCCATTTAATCAACGACTTGTTGATAAACACGAGAACCTGCGACTTACATTCATATAAAGTATTGATCTCATCTTTGAGCCTTAACATCAGCAAACCAATTCCCCACTCAGACCAGACCCCCTAACAAAAACTGGGGGGGCAGAGCCCTCCAACATTTTGGTGCCGAAAAACACTTTTACCGGTGAATTGACGATACCTGTGATATCAGCGACTTCAGAGTGCACATTTTCTGCCCTCAGATGACTCAAGAACTACCTAAGAAGCACAGTGAAGCATGACCGCCTGAACAACTGCCTACAGATGCATTGTCACAAATCGATTATGGACTTACTAGACACTGTGAAGATTGCTTGCGCCGATGAACAATGCAGAGGGCATTTTGGAAAATTTGAGTAGGGGTATGTGTATAGCTAAGATGAAGATGAGCCCCCCCCCCCCCCCAATGTTTCAAAATGCTCCACCTCCTCCTCTGCTATATATAATATTCTACTGCAGATACAGGGTATGTTCACACTAAATCACATGGAGTTTTGTGCCAGAAAGAAATTACTTGATGCAGTATAACATGAAAAGCCTCGAATCAAAATTGCATCAATCACTCCAAGGTTGTCCACATGAATACGGCCTAAAAAGGAATTTGAGATGCAGTGGTACTGATTTTTCTGCGGGAAATCATTAGTCCTAAATGTTGGCTGTCTCCACCCACTAACCCATGCAAGGGGCCATGGGGGTCAGACAGACATTCTGAATTCTGACTGTGGTAAATTCAGGCATCTCTTGCCCCGTACCCTCACCATGGGTTAGAGGGTAGAGACGATTGGCATTTCAGACTAGTGGGAAGAATGTACAAGGATGTGCATGTAAATCTGAGATGATCTGAGGGCCATTCACATTACACCTAGTAAATTGAAGTGACTGAAAACGTATACCAATTTCACAAGTGTCCCATTACAGTAACGCTCTAGCACAAACTAAAAAAATAATGAGACTGGCATAAAATGTGTGAACAAAACCTGTAGGGAGCACTTCCATATTTGACCTAAATGGGACAGTGCCCTCCTAACCCCCATGAACAAAAGACCTATCCGATATTATTTTCAAAGGAAAGAATGAGAGCTACATGTATCTGGTGAGCTGACAATGGCTATTATGACTACCCTGAACAAAGGGCATTGTTAGAGTTAAACAGTAAAGCAGGTTATTAGAATTGCTTAAGAGGGGAAAACAAAAGGTACCTGACCAAATGTGCAGGGAGAGGAAGTTGAGGAATTTCTCGTGCTGGAACATGATTTATGATTACCAATCTACACATGTGTTGTAGGTTTAAAATTAAAGGCAACTGCCAAACTCTAACCCGACCATCCTTGTAGCCAGCAGCAAGCTGCTGGCAGGTGCGTGTGAAGGCCAGGCAGGACACCTCAGTGTTCTGGTACCATGTTCTTAAGCCATCTGGCTGCAGATGTGCATTAAGTACAAACAAAACATGCAAACTTTCTGAATTCAGTGCTAACACTTTGGAGTCAGATGTGCCGACTGCAAGCATTGTGCCATCAGGCGAGAAAGCTGCAGATCGGATCTTCTGCCAGGGTGTCTGCAATGCATAAGCAAACTGAATACAAGTAAGGCCAGGTTCGTCTGAATTTAGTGACCATGTCTGAATGGTGCCATCTTCTAGGCATGATGTAAGGTATTTGTGACCGTAACGGGGATCAAAGAGATACCAGCAGTGCATTTGCGAACTGAGTGATCTGCGACTTGCGTGACGAAATGGAATACACAAGCACGTGGACGAGTTTGTGGTGTCCAAGTCGAGGCTACTATGAATGTGAAAGTCTTGAGTGTCGAAAACAATCAGTTGACCGGACGAACACGACACGGCCAAGAACAAGCCATCGGGTGAAAAGACGCATGAGCGAGCGTGCCCGCGAATTTTCGAACTAGAATTCGTTGTCGATTTCATCTTCCTCACCATTTTCTTGGAAGCAATGTCAATAATGCAGATATGATTTAAATCACCGGTTAATTTAGATGCCACGACAAGAGAACGGCCATCTGGTGAAAAGGAACAACACATTAAAACCCCTCTTCTCTTTCGCCAAAATCTTCGCATGTGAACAACTTCGGCGCTGGTTGTTTTCCACGATCGCATTCGCACTAAAGCGATTGAATCTTCGTTAAAAATACACACGACCAACTGTCCATCAGGTGAAAAATCAC